CTATTATGCGGTGGTAATAATAACTTTGTAACTGGTAAACAAAGTTCCCGTTAATTTTTAAACCCGTTTCGCGATCTGTACAATCGTAAAAATTATTCCCACCTTGTAAGCTGATAACAAGCATTAACAGGATTGCGGTAACAAGAAGTGGAAATATTTTTTGGTAAAAAAATATTCGGTAACGTGTAGAATAGGCCTGTTAATGGCAAAATGGTAATTTCATAAAAATGTCCAATAATCTCTACATTTTACCCACTGAAGTCAAAAAGAAAAGTGGCAGATGATATGTAGGAATACGTTATAATAAAATTTTCCGGAAAATAATTGTGACAGCGGAAATTTTTAATTATACTTATACACGCAGTGCACGGACTTCGAAAAAATTATTAGTGGAAGATTTTACATTCAAAAAATGGTAGAAGTTGGTATATTTTTTATCTCAAAAAGATTTTCGATCCGAATTTGATTTCATCACGGATGCCGTAATTCAGGCTCTAATAGTCTCTTTGCTTTCATTCCGAAAAATATCGGTAGATTTTTATACTTTGTTGGTAAAAATGGTAGAAAATAAAATACAGCTAAAAAGTTGGTAGATCTTTCAATAAAGTGGTTGAGTCCATGCACTGTATTCACGATTTCTTTATTCTTTATGTATGAGGAAATTGATATTGAAATTGGATATAAGCTTCATGAGGCTTTTTTGGCTGCATGGTTAGATTAAGTTAGGAGAGCGTGTATGCAAAGTTCCATGCTTCCACTCAGAGGAATAGTTGCCGAGGGGAGGTATATTTCTCCAACCCGTATTAATCATCGTTGTTGCATCGGTGCAATAGCTTAGTGCCCTGTAACGTTCATACTCATCAATCATCTGGTTTGGTCCATAATTATAGCTTGTAACTTAAAATTTTTTGCTAATATATACGCACTAAATGGTGGTTGTATGAATATGTCTGTTCCAGCTAGAACCAAGCTATTTAGTAGAAGACTAGCTGCCTTCTTTATAGCATAGATCTCAGCTTGTAAGACACAGTAATCAGTTGGCAAACGAAAAGGCTGTCCGATTTGCAGATCCTCTGAGCAAAGAAGCCCGGCACCAGTTCCCGAATCCATCTTTAGGTATTCTTATGTTGGCTTCTCAGTAAACTTTGATTCCCATTAAGCTGGTCTCTTTTTATTTCTCCCATTGTCTGCAAACAAGTCTCGTTATAATTAAACCTCTTCTTCTGCTATTCAAAATCATAGAATACTTTTTGAAAAGTTTTGAAATAGGTATATATAATCGATGTGAAAACCAGAAATCACGCGGTCAACGATTTTTTTATTGATACAATTATTTATTAATTTATCGATATCATTTTCGATGTATTAATCGATATTTTCATCGAGATATTTTTAGAAATCCTTAGTGCGTTTTTTATTCGATGTAATTATCGATATGTTTATCGATTTTTTTCTTTATGTTAGTTGCAAGTTACGATATATTTACACATACATTTATCGATGTAAATATCTGTATCGTTTTACATATTATGTCGTTGTCTATATGATTATTGTATCGAATAAATGCATACATTTGGCGATATCGATATTTATATTAACCAATAAAGTTACATAAAACACTTCTTTATTATATTAATTTTCCGACTTGCAGCTATTGAAGGCTTTATATGCATTGCAAAACTTTATCTTGGGTACGGAGCAAATCACTGTGATCATTATATTGTGTACCCACTGTTACTTTTGATAGGTATTCATAAAAATTCGAATTTTTTCAGTGAAATAATTTTATTTTCCCCAGCAAATCTTGAAAAATATTTTTCAAAAATAAATCACATAATTATTTTTAGTTATTCAACTCAATACCGAAGACTTTTGAATTCATACATACAAACACATGTTTCAAATGAGGCAGAGTGCCGAATAATATGACAGAACTGAGAACAAAAATTCTTTGGTCGTATCTCTCTCACTGCACTGACTAATGCTCTCGCCTTTTGGGTTTTTAAAAGCTAAACAGATGTGAAGATTTTTTATTTTCTTAAAATAAAATTTTTTATCAATTAGATTTTAAAGGCACAGATATTTAGGTAGATCTAAAAGCAAGTATACATTTAGACTGATTTATGTTGGGCTCTCTTGTTTTTGTTAATTTAAATTATTTTTTTTATAAAAACATAGTTTATTCTTTATAAAAAAAAATCATATAAAACCAAGTTATGGCGGGCCACGGCCCACAGCTTCCAATTTGTTATCTTCATAATCTACATACATATTCGCTTTGTCGATGGCAACATGAATTTTTTGAATGTCATTCCCACATTTAGGGCCGGTTACTCAATGTCTGGTTAACACTAATCTGCGGTTANTTTTAGACCGATTTACGTTGGGCACTTTTGTATTTGTAAATTTAAATTATTTTATTCTAAAAATATAGTTTATTCTTTATAAAAAAAAATAATCATATAAAACCAAGTTACGATGGGCCCACGGCCCACAGCTTCCAATTTGTTATCTTCACTAACTACATACATATTCGCTTTGTCGATGGCGACATGAATTTTTTGAATGTCATTTCCACATTTAGGGTCGGGTACTCAATGTCTGGTTAACACTAATCTGTGGCTAAACATCGTTATCGACGTCTTCGACTCCATGCATACAACAGGGAGTNCTCGTATACTTATGACTATATAACAGCAGTTAAGAATAGGAGACTCCTCCGTCTGCACTCGCGCCTGCAGTCTTCACTCTTGTATAAAATAATTTATACACTGAATTCTAAACTCTTGAGAGCAATAGCAATGAAAAATTGATCATCATTAAAATAAGTCCCAGCAATTGGCCTCCAACAGTGCTGTGCATCCGACGAATTCCCCAAAAATAAAATCGATGGGTTTTCCAACAAACAACAAAAACACAACACAAATAGCAACAAGCTACAACGAAGCTCCACGAAGTATCCACCGAATGAAGAAAGTACTCTTACACGCTGTGAACTCACTCATGCTACNTTCGAATACTTATGACTATAGAACAGCAGCGAAGGATAGGAGACTCCTCCGTCTGCACTCGAGCCTGCAGTCTCGTATAAAATAATTTACAAACTAAATTCTAACCTCTTGAGGGCAATACCAAGAAAAATTGATCATCATTACAATAAGTCCCAGCAATTGGCCTCCAACAGTGCTGTGCATCCGACGAATTTCCCAAAAATAAAATCGATGAGTTTTCCAACAAACAACAAAAACACAACACAAATAGCAACAAGCTACAACGAAGCTCCACGAAGTATCCACCGAATGAAGAAAGTACTCTTACACGCTGTGAACTCACTCATGCTACAAACACATACACCCATAAAACCGAATACGAGACAACAAATGATCGAGCTATTTGATCGCAATTGGAACGATCTTGTGTCATTCTTCGCTCGCACCTCAAAAACGATCGACGTCTTGGTTTCAGTCTCGGGGATTATGACTTAAACCAGAAGATTTTTAATTTCTGAGATTTAAGTTTTTCATACGCGCACATATATAGTATATATATATATATTTGGAAAAATAATAATTTACATAGAGTTTTCGTATAATTTGTATTATAACTGAGGTGAAGAAGAGAGTTTATTTCAAACGGAAAATACAAAATATAATTTTAACGCGATAAAATTTACACTATAACGGCGCAAAGGATAACGAAAGTAAGCAGTTAAAAGAGTATAAGAAGTAAATAAGGATTTGCAAGTGTTGAACAACTGTGATAAAGAAATAATGTGAAAAAATTCCTCAAAATTTTTGCAGTGAAAAATTGAAAATATTGAAAAATTTTTGGTTTCGTAACAAAATTTTATGAAGAAAATATTTTTCGCTGCGCTGAATATCTAAAAAAAGAATCGATACACTGGTGGGCATGCGAACGGTCGCTCGGTGAGCTCGGCCAGCTGATGGTGGGTGATCGTGCCACATACGAACTGCGCGCTCGTTGCTCGTGCGCTCGGTCGCACTTGGTCAAGCTGAGCAACGGGCTATCGCTCGGTCGGTCGGTAGGTCGTGCGGTTGCTCGGTTTGTGGGTAAATCGGTTGATCCGGATCCGTTTCGCAGCCGAAGTGTTGCACTCGGCCATAATGCATACTCGTATGGGTTTACTTATGTGTACATGCATACATACATATATGCTTATTAATTTATTTTATTATAATACATATTTATATGTATATGTATAAATACCTATGTACATTGTACATATGTACATACATATTGTATGTATGAACGTGTATTGCAAGGATCGATAAAATCGATAAAACAATAACACAAACAAGGATAACATAAACTTTTAAGGAATAACTGCTAAAGGATAACAGTGCTGTGTATTTTTTCATGCAACAATAATTCTAATCGAACCGAAAAACCTTGGTTATAATTTTGATTTAAAAAAAAAAAAAACTGAAGTTTGCAATGCTCGCAGAGATTTTACAATTCTCTTAAAATTAACTGAATTGTCAATTTTTAAAAATAGCCACTGAAAATTAAGAAGCAAAAGCTGCTGTGCCTGAGTTTGTGTTTGTACGTATAGCAGCGCCTGTTTGTGTTTGTGTGGCCAACAGTGATCGGTGTTATATTTTCGTACATAAATGAGATGGAAAATAACTTGCAGCGCAGGAATACGAAAAGGACGGCCTGCGACAGAATAATTTTTCGAAAATAGAAATATTTATCCAATAAAGTGTGCATATGTATATTATTTTCAGTTCGTGGCGAATTTCGCACAGCAGCGTAGCATATGTGCACTGAACTTAACACTGATATTTATAAATAAAATAAAATAAAAAAATTTTAAGTGAAGAGTAATAAAAAACTGTGAATAAAAATATAAAATTAAAAAGTTCAGCAAAGTGATAATTAAATTACAATACAATTAAAAAAAATCTGTGTCCAAAAACAATTAAGTTCAATGTAAAACCCTTAGTGTAATTTTCAAATTCTCTTTTTTTCTTTTTCAGCACCTACGAAAAGCGATAAATCTGTGTTTTGAAGTGAAAAAAAAAAATAAAGATATACATATAAATAGGTAGTGAAATCAGTCAACACATATAAGAGAAGCAGCTGTAGAAAAAATCACATAGTGTTTAAAATCGGATAGTTACACTTAAGTGGCATCTTTTTGGTTTGCATCGCACCGCAACCATCAACGTCCAGTCTTATATCTATCCGATAGCATAATATTAGTGAGTTAGCTGCACTGCAAGTCACTAAATACCTTCAGTTATCATTTTAAATGCGCTATAACTAGTGTTATATAACGAAAATGCAACGAGAAAATTCGAATCCGCTTCAACAGCAGCAACAGCTGCAATCGCAATCGCAGTCGCAGTCTCATCAAGAAATGCAACAATTCTCGAGTCAACAACAATACTCGAGCATGCAGCAGCAGCAACAAAGGATTAGCCGCACCGAACAACGCACCGTCCAAAGTCAGCAAATCACTCAACAAAGAGGTCAGTTTGCTCAGCCGCAATGGCGAATGATCACTCATCATTCATGTGGAAAATCAGGCATATGTCATGATCAGGGAACGGATTTTTAGGACCTAAAACCCTATAAAAAAAGACAAAATAAAATAGCGAAGTAGGGAAGAAAAGGCACTAGAACCCGCAAAAAAGGCAAAAGAAGGCACTAAAAAAGACAAAAATCGAAAAACAATCCAAATTTACTTTTTAAAAATATTTATTTTACAAGTAAAAACTAGTTAGGTAGAAAAACAAAAAAAAACAAATACCTTAAAAAAAAAAACAAAAAAATGCAACACCAAATGTGTATATATAGATGGAATCAGGGAAAACTAAACCGTGGACATTCTCAATCCAATATACTCTCTCTTTAGCTGAAAAAGGATAATTTCCATAAAATCCGTTCCCTGGCCATGATTATTGCCAAATTTTAGCAGGTTTTTAGGTTGCAGGTTCATTGTGAAGATAAATATGAAAAAATTATAGTGAAATTTTACGAGCGTGGAAATTGTTAGTGGGATCCAAGTCAAACTGATAACCCAAACATTTATTGAAGTCGGGTTATTTTTTCTCTCTTTCTTTGTTTTCGATCTTTTTATCTTTTATTTTTTGTTTTTATTTTAGTATCACCTGCTAAACTTATAATTTTCTTGTTGCCGTAGTTATTTTTCAAAATATGAACATCGCACTGAATATTGTTAAGCAAACCTTATACGCAAATAATACCATTATTTTTTTATTTTGGTCCCATTGTTCGGTCCAATTTGTTTCGATATTTTTTATAAACAATCAAATGTAACAAATAAAAAACCGTGTGGCCCTATTAGTCAAGGACCAAAAATAATCGTTATTATGTAGGGTTTTTTCTTTTGAAGTCATTGCGAAATCGTTATTTTTTATTCATATTCTTGCGGATCGTTTCAAAACCTTTTTCTATGATTTTTATTGTTTCGATCTTGAATTTTTATTTTTCCGATCATTTTCAGTCGTAATTTTTTAATTTTTATTTTTCGAATATTTTTTGTTCTTTTTTTTGGTCGTTTCGTCATTTGCGAAAAATTTTGTAGGGATACATTCTACTAAAAAAATTCCCGGAAACCAACGGTAACCCCTAGCTACATTAAACTTACATATTAAAAAAGGGGAAAAAAATTGTTTTCCATTGAAAGTTATTATTTTTGCGAACGCAAACACAAAACCCACTACAATTCTTATATAAAAGTTTTAGATTACCGTTAATTTCTTCATGATCCAATGATCGTATCTGAACCAAATTAGTATGGGACCACATTTGAGGTACCACATTTCCTTAATATATAAAATATATAGACGTCGGTTAACGGGGTTCAAACATAACATACATAAAAAAAAAAAAATATTCCAACGAATTGAGAACCTTCTCCTTTTTTTGAAGTCCTTTTGATTTTATAACCGAGTTTAAAATAGGCACATTATTTGTTATAAAGATGTATGTACCTACTTTTTTGTGTTGGTGGATCCTTCCAACAGGCTGAGAAAATTATGAATTTTGGAATGAATTTCCGTCATTCCTTGTCAATTTGGTTTCGAAACAAACTGGTTTCGGTCATGTGCCACATTTTTCCACTGTATACCTTAACAGAAATACTGCATAAAATTTCAGATTTTTCTTGTTTTGGTATTAGAAGCGTCCGTGGATTTTTAACTAGAAACTACCTGATTGTGGAATTCTATATTCCATATCCTACAAACACAACATGTGAACATTTTTGTGCATGCGACCCAGCTTAAGAAAAATAACATACAAAATTGATGTTTTCAACTCACAATTTCGAATGGATATTGAGAAAGTAAATCCTAGATAGAATAATTTTTCATATATGTACATATGTAAAACAATTTGTAATTACGGAACCTAGCTTGATATTTTGAAATTTTACTTATAAGGGATTTCGGTGTCAATCCAATTTTAAAGTGAGGCATAACATTGAAAAAATTCTATAAGTACTATATGAGACGTTTACTTTGAAAGCAACATAAGCCACTTCATGCCGATTGACTTCTGTGATCAGTTATCTGTATGTAAGCGCGCCTGTTAGGTGTTTAACTTCAGCCTCTAAACCACCTACTACACCTTAAAACGACGTTTTTTATAAAAAAGTTGTTCAAAGTAGAAAGGTTCCAATGTTTCAAAAAGTTGCCCTCTAAATTTACTGTAGGTCTATGAAAACAAAAAATAACACTGGTTTACAGCAAAAATTCTATGTATAATTCCAACAAAATATTTGCGTATTTTCATTTGACCACTCAATACTTCTTTATTTATCCCTCGCTTTCCTTCGTTAGTAACTTGATTTTTTTTTGTAACAGAACCTGCTTTAGCACAAGTGCAAGAATTTTGCACAAAACCTGATATTAAAAATTTAAATTTTCCTTCTGGTGAAGTTTGATTTTTTCATTTTTTCATTAAAAAAAAAACTGGAAAGACTAATTAATTTGTCAGAAACTATCAGCCCTATCGGAAAGTGATGAATATATGGTTTATGGAGAATTTTATTAGCTTTGATTTGACGTATCTCATTTGATCGTTAAATTGGTTCGTAAGATATATGTGATTAAGTTGAACCAATTTTTGTTTTAAGCTGAATAACGGTAAATTGTAAATATCTGGATACTGGCGTCTGGAGAACAAAAACCAAACTAAAATTTGTAATCCAGTGTAATTCTACTTCAAATCTGTTTATAAATTGCTTCTTAAACCTTTCGTTCCCGAGTTTTTTGTTTTGTTTTTAAATCTTTTATTTGACGTCATAGTATAAATAAATACATACACTGTCGATAAAGTGACAAATTTATAAATTTCATGCCCCTGTTATATTCATTATCTAGAAGTAGCTAAGCCGATTTTCAAGTTGCCTATCCATTGGCAAACGTTTGCTCGAAACAGTATTTTGATGAAGAACAATATGAGCGTTAGCTGAGTACTTTTTCATTTGGACCTTTACAATTTTTACTATACATAATTGGTATAAAGCATTTCATATGTATTTTTTCATCTTCAGTGCCTCTTGGTAAAATTTCCTGATTTACATATTTTATACAAAACATTTAAATGCATATTATTGGTGTCAAAAATGCCGATATGGTAGGAGATAAATGTTAAAATGCTATACGAAAAAAATGTTTCGTTAAATTTTACTTTAGGTCTCTGGAAAATTATATTCGAAGTAATACATAAAGTCAAATGCAGTATAATAAAATTTGTGACCAAAAAGTGAAAATTTTTCTCACGGTAGGTTGTTGTTAAGCCTTTTATGCTTAAACTGTGAAAAATTGCATATCTTTGCGCAACTTTCGGCCATCTGAGATACATTCGTCCTTCCGTTATCCGATTTTAAATATTTTTCGAAGAGCCCATTTTTATTGTTAAGCAAACTTTTCTAAGGAAAATCTTGGTTTTTAGTTCAAAATTGAAAGATAAGACGCGCACTAATGTACTTACATACATATGTATAGTGTGTTCACATGCATGAAACTACGAGTTAAAAGGTTGAATTAATTAATTTAAAAAACAACTTTTCAGAAAAAGTCTGGTCGAAATTTTTATTATGAAGCTGAATAAGTTTATAACGACGGACTTTATAAGCATCAACTTTACTATTTGTTTACACCAGCTAGCAGGTACCGTTGTGGTCAGCTGATTAATTTAAGTGACGTTTTGAACATTTTTTACTGATGGTGCTAGGCATTTTCGTCCATATAAAAGTAATTGTCGAGCATACTTTATACCCAGAGGCGATTTTGTCAAGGCCTTCCGTTGATAAGGTATTACAGACCAACTCCTAAGCAAGCGCAAAACAGAACAGAGCAGGGAAGCCAACTCGTGAGGAATTTCCCGATATGCGGGGAATTTCAGTTTGCGTAGGGAATCGGGGAATGGACCGTTTTTTGTGGGGAATTTCTGCTCTTTCAACTCTAGTGTAATAAAGTTTCAAATGGCCGTTAATTTTTTAGAATTTTGTCTGTCGCATTTGCTTTCATATAACAAATAAACGTAGTTTATTTTCATATGGAAGAAAACCGCAAAAACTTCGACAAAAAAATTCTAAAACGAAAGTTTTAAGACACTTGAAGCTTGCACTTTATTATAATAGAAATACAAAAATCTTTCTATAAAATCTAGTTAAAAACCTCGAAATTGTTACGAAAGTTTATTGAATTTTTTACAAATATTGCACAAAGTCGCAAACTTGGACTTATACGGTATTTCTTAAAGAATGAACTATATTTTTATGAAACAAAGATAACTCTAATTAAATAACAAAATAAAAATAATTGGTGCGACCAAATTTTTTTCGACCACTGTATTTATGTAAATGTTATATAAACATTTTTTATTATTTATTTGGTAACTGACTTTATAAAACTTTGGTTTGGTTTACGAATAAAACAGAAAGGCCAGCAAAATATCCAAATACAAAAGTTTTTGTTTTTTTTTTTTTTTTTGTGAATAAAGAGATATCTACGGTTGGGAAATTTTACGAAATTTCGGGCAAAATCGGGAAATTTCATTGTCGAAATCGGGGAATTCTCAAAAATGATTTGGCTACCCTGGAACAGAGTGCTTCCTGTGCTCCTTCTCGAGAAGTGAGTTGGCAACGTTTAAGCAAATAAACTGACATGAGCTACAAACGTTTGAAAATAAGTTTGTTTAAGCGATTGTAAAAAATTGTATTCAAATAAAAATTGGAAAACACATTTATGTAAATGTTATGGCTGTAGCTGATTGCGCAGAGATGTTTGCTATTATTTGTGAGCTTTTAATTTCTGTTATTAAAAATAATGCCTTCTATGAGCTATCCTCCCGAAAGCGGAAACGCAATGTCTTGCAATTGGGCCCATGTCATAAAAAATATTTCAGGAGATCATGCAGATGATAAGGCCCTTCATTCAAGAGGAGGCTTTCTGTAATTGCTTTTTACTCCTTCCTTTTTCTACTGGGTATGGAA